GGTTTCCTTTCCTAGGTATATTATACGTAATTTTTACAAATCAAATTAAAGACGGAAAAAGAAGCCTCGATTATAGACAAATTGATTTCAGTGCAAGTAGAAACTAAAAGAACATAAGACATCTGAAGCCAGGGAACAGCGGGAGGACAGAACGGGAAGGAAGGACAGCTGTTGGGTTCCGACAACAAGGTACACGTTTGTTACAACAAATCCTTCTGAACAAAAAAATAGCAGAAGTGCAGCTCAGTTCAGTGAGATTTTCGAAGACATACTTCACTTGGGTCTCGTATATTGGTAGGCTCAGGTCCGACAGGCACAGATGATTCAGACGAAACATTGGAGTGTTTCCAGCAACATTTCTCTCCAGGGTCGATCTCAAGGTAACGTTGACTTTCGGTCCGAGGTCCAAACGCATCATCTGACGTCACTGAATCCGTTGCGCCGCATGCGCCGTGGGATCCGCGCGAGGGAACCTTCACCGGGGTTTACGCCAAATAAACTAACTTCACTTCATCTATAGGCTCTTTTTTTACTTTTTGATTAATTACTTTATCTTTCTCTATCTTATAGAATATTATATATTAGTATATATATATATATATCTATATATATATATTATGTATCTATATATATATATATATATAATATGATCTATCTCTCTATTATCTCTATATTAGTTATAATATATATATATATATAGATATCTCTATCTCTATAATATTATTATACATACATACACACACACACACACACACACACACACACACACACACACCCACACCCAGACATATATTATCTATATCCATCATATTATACTATAGTATATATAATATTTTAAAAATTTTTTATTGCTATAAAATAAATATCTATCTCTATTCTCTCGCCGTCTATCTCCTCTCTATCGTATCTATCTATCTATCTCTCTCTATCCTATATCTCTCTCGTATATCTCTCTATATATATCTCTCTCTCTCCATTCTATCTTTCTCTTATCTCTTCTCTCTCTCTCTCGCTTCTCGAGAGAGCAGAGAAGAGACGGAGAGGAGCGGAGAGCGAGAGAGAGATGGGGGGAGAGAGAGAGAGGGACATAGATCGCTCATTGATATATCTATATTCATAATACTACCCCATTTCATTCATCACTTTCATTTTCACACCTGCATTAGGCGTAGGTAAAACGAACCCCTTTCCTTTCGCAAGACCTTTTTTTTATCTTTTTTCTTTAACGGGTGCTTTTCGCTGCCGGGCATTAGCTACTTGCACGGCGGGCAGACAGCCCTCGTTTTTCTTCCAGGACCACATTTCTGTCCCTCAGCCCATGTTTGGCTTCCCCCCCCCCTTTCTCTCTCTCTCCATCTGTATTTATATATATTATATATATTTTATTATATATCTATATTCTATATATATGTATGTATATATGTGTGTATATATATATATATATATATATATCTCTTATTATATATATATATATATATCTATATTCTATACTCGATATCTATATCTTATCTATATCTATATCCTATTATCTATATATACATATATATATTATAATATATATATATAATATAGATTATATATATAGATACATACATATACATATACATATATATATATAATATATATTCATATATATTCTATTATATATATATCTACATGTATCGAGATATAGATATCTGTATTTATGTCTAGAGAGAAAGGAGAGACGAGGGAAGAGAGAAGATATATAGATATAGTATATATAGTATATCTATATATC